AAATATAATCATTTCTCCTAAAAGATTGTCATAATTTGATTTTTTTTGTCAAATTGTAGCATCATTTGAACATGTATTATCGATAAAACATATTTAGTTATAATATAAATATAGTAAAATTCGATTTATTTTAAAATATATCAAATTTCTATAATATTTAATTATTTTAAACTATATTCAATTCATGGTGGACGGAAAAAATTTGTTAGGGTATCCATAGATGCTACGTGGGAGCGTGTGATGAAGAGGGAGGGCTTTCAGGAGATTGTTGTCGTTGATAAATAGGTTTGACAGTTAAATGGGTCTCTTCCCCACTTCACATGGACCACACTACTCCATGGCCGCCATGTGCCCTTCCAAACTTGTTCATAGTTTCTTATGTCTTTGTCACCAAGCCTTCACCTTCACTAACAATTGCACTATCACAATATAATTTCATCTTACACAACCACTCCTTAAACATAGAGCTTTGTTCTCTACACCTAATCTTGCTAGTCTTCATGTTAGAGATAAAAGAAGGAAACAAGATTGAAGAAGGAAAATGTTAGAGACAGAAGAAAGAAGGAAGCAAGATTAAAGAAGAAAACCGAATCCCTTTGGGATTAGGTTTAGTATCTTTCCTAGTTTGATTTGGTTTAGTATTTAATATCTTTCCTAGTTTGTTTAATTCTTATTTTAGTAGGAATATGAATTTCCTTGTTTGCTTTACCATCTTCCTATATAAAGAGGGTTAGATCTTTGTATTCAACAGAAGTTTCACAAGAGAGTAATTCAGAAAATTTCCTCCAAAATAATTCTTTCACTTCACCTTCACTAATAATTACTCCTTAGAAAAAATAATCAACATATAAAATTTTGTGTTGAACTAAGTAATTGATTGATTTCAATTTTTTTTACATAGTTCGACTTAAATGTCTTATATAACTCAATCCATTGATCATTTCCACATTCTAAAAACTATTATGTCGTGGTATGAGAGCCAAGTTTAGCCCACCTCATTTGTTAAGGTTTTCGCCTAGAAATTTATTCCTAGCTACCCATTTGTCTATATGCAAAAATGGCATGTCACCAATATAACCCAATTATTCAACTGGAAGTCCATACCAAACGATTCGTGACTCTTTTGTGTTATGGATAGTAGAGTAGGATATTTAATAGTATTATTATTATTGTTGTTGTTGTTGTAATTTAGGTTTTATTAGGTGAGCAGAATTATAAGCTTTTTTAAGGTTTCTTTACTGTTCTTTCCCTCTTCGCTTTTATTGAACTGTCAAGTTGAGTTTATGGTTAGCTAGGATTTCCTTGTCTCCTATAAATAGAGATGTAACCTTATTTAGAATAATAATATTATTATTATTATTAAATATCCTACTCTACTATCCATAACATTTTGTTGGTGTTGGCACTTTCGATCATTTCAACAAATATTTTTTTCGGATATTTTTATGTTATCCTTTTTTGAAACTTTCTATATATATCTTCTTGAGCCAGTTCGACGACCACTCTCTTTGAAAGGCCACGGAGGTCATTCACAAAATTGATAGCTCTTAACCTCTTTATTCCATCGGTAAGACCTCCCAAAGTTCCAACCCTAATCCATCCCCCGCCTCACATCAATTGCACCCCGTAAATTCAGTTGATTTTGAGGTTAAAAATTTTTTGACCTCAAAATCAACTAAACTTGCGAGATGCAATTGAAGTGAGTGAGGGTGAATTAGGAACAAGACATGGTGGTGGGATTTACCAGAAGGGTAGAGAGAGTATGATTTATCAACCTTGCGAACAGAGCAATGTATGTATCCAAATTGGAACAATGTCTTCCATAGTCACTCAAAGAGAGTGGCCACAAAACCTATTTTCATCTCTGTCCTTATTTGTTGAGAGTCATGTTTGCATGGTCCCAACTCCCAAGATCCACATTTATTAATGTGAAATTTCTCACATTTTTATGGGTTTCACGTGGATATTTTTTATTTGACAAAAGACTCAATTTTTTTAAACTATATATAGCTAGATTAAGATCCATATAATAAGCATGGACCTTAAGTCCATAGAAGATTTTGTTATTTGTTAGACAAATTACATTCAATTGATTATTTTGCCCTTATCACGCCACTTTTTTTTTTTGCAAAATTATCTAACCACTTATTTTATCTCTTTCACCCATCAAAGTTAATGACAAAATAGTAAAATAAACTAGTTTTACGGTTCTACATCTTATACTCCGTATTAAGCTTGTATAATTCAGATTTAGAAAAAAAAAAAGATACTAGTAGGTGGACATTATGCAATTGACAAAGACTGAGCGTTAAAAGATGAATTCGAGTTGACTTATGAAAACTGCGTTAAGAGGTAATAATTTTAAGTATATGACCTTTATAATAAATACTCTCGCGAATAGGGTTCGTCATTAAAAAAAGATATCAATGGGGAGTAATAAGCATGATTTCAACAACAACCATGTTAGGGTTACACCAATAAATATATCGCAAAGTATATATACCAAATGTATGCCTTAGCATTTTGATGATTCACACTACTAAAAAAATGATAGTGTGATAAAATAATTTTACATTTAATATTCTTTAACTGAACCATCACAATGTCATCACATTCGTACAAAAATAAAGAGTACACTTTTAATGTACAATTTAAAATACTTCGTATAACACTTGGATAGAAAAAGTTTAATTCTTTCAACAAAAGGAACCGAAGCAAACAAAGGGTATGGTCACATCATGACCAGCCATTTATGGAAACGAGAATGAACGAACATAACCCGGCTTCCTTTATAAATAATCAGTTCAATTTAACACGAAAATGACGAAATTGAACCTGCAAAGTTTCTTTGGTTCAGAGTTTGATTTTGTAAAGTTAACCCGCACGGGTAGCCCAAGTGGCAAGCACTTGGTGAAGTTTGGAGAATGACCAAGGATCGAAACCTGGCAGCGACCGTTGTGGGGGCGACCACCTCTGAAAAATGGGGGAAGTCTCTGGTGCGCACTAGGATATGGTTTAGCTAAGTGTTGTGCTTGGGTCACCGTGATTTACCTCCTCTCACAATCCCGTCGGGTCGGGGGTGAGGGGCGCCCGGGGTGAGCGATTTCACCTTTTGGAGAATGATTTTGTAAAGTTAAAATTGATAAGTTTTAATTTTTAACTATTAACTGAATAAAATTTATACTAAGTAGTGATATGAATAGTACAAAATAATTTATTAGATTTATCATAAAAAATATTTTTAAAATAGTATTTTACCTAATTAATATTCAACGTAATTTTTACTACGTATTTTATAGGTCATAGATCGATCCTAGACCTGACAAAAAATGAAACGATCTGTTTTTGAGTTGAGACTTGACCCATAAAATACTAGATTTTGAACAAAGATTTTGCTGGTCGAACTTATGAAGTTGACCAAACCTGAAATTACCCGTTAAAAATGGGTCAAATCCGACTGACCGACCCGCTAATGTAAGAATTTTTCAAAATCATATGCTTTAATATGTTATATAATGTTATAAAAATATGATTTTAATTATATTTCTTTGCTTACTACTCGTTTTTAATGTATAGATTTATATTTTCATACAAAATTTTTATGATATTGCTAAATTATCTTACTTTTTTTCTGCATATTTAAATTAATTTTTTTATTTGTAATATTGACACCCGATCATAAGAATTACTTAAAATTTAAAAAATAAATGAAAGTCATAACTCGTTGAGTTGATCCGAACCCGATCACACTGGGTCATGTACATGTAACTCTTAGCCCGAACCCAAACATGACCTGACCGACCGTTTTACCAGCTATTATCGATATTGATTAACGGTAAAAAGTCAAAATTGGATAGAATTTTAGCGGAATAATGATCGATCACGTAGGAAAGCTGGCAACTTTCCATGAAATTAAGAATTAAAATCATGAATGATCATGGTAGAGGCAACCTAAAATATGTACGTAGGTCAGCTTATGCGGTTTTTTTACGCATGAAGAGGAATTCCTAATTACTCCGTAATTAACATGTTGCGATGCAATCAAAATAATTGATGAAGGGCTTGTGTGTTCGAACTTGAGTGGAGACAAAATTGAAGAAGATATCAGAATGTGACATGGCTTGTGTGTAAGGTTATAAATATTTATGATTGTTGGGATGTAAAATTTGCACTAAATAAGACTAAAACATAAGTTATTTTTTAATATAGGACCTAAACTTTTTTATTCTATAAATAATACTTAATAATACTTAGTGAGAAGAATAATGTCTGGTGATCGAAGGAAGACATTTACTTGAATAATGAGTAATAGATAATAACCCGTGGAAAAATAAAAATATATAATCTTATATTGAGAAAGTCATCATGTTTTAATCGTATTTAGATAAATTTTCCTTGTTGGATATACTAGGGTTTTGTATTCGTAAGCACGAATCATTAAAATTAAATTGTGCCCGGACAAAATTTATAGTTCATTGTTTTTTGGATTGTCGGAACAATATAATGTTTGGACTTGTTTTTGCGAACAACTTGTACTTTTAGATGTTCTAAATCTAACATAATTATCTACTAGCATTTATTAAGAATTATACTTAGACTCTATTCTTTGAGGCTTCTTGTTTTTGGTAACTTAGCAAAGCCACTGGCAAGTGGCATCATGTATTGGCTTCTAATACTTCCCTAGGTCCAAAAATATTGGGTTCAAGTCCACTAATAATGGACTAATTGAACGTGGCAATGTTCTATATTCGCATCCCATCCCGCCCATGCGTAAGTGGGTAACTATTCTGTATATTTTCTCTCTCTCTCTATACATGTATATATACACATACATACGTGCATCAATCTCTGCATTTTGGTTCCTAAAAAGGCTCTCCCTCACTCACTCGTACTTTTTTTTATTTGTTTGGGTACCATCAAAATAATCTCTGGTTATTAATCAAAATGGATCTTCCTCCCGTTTCACAACCTCAAACTCACATTCCTCGTTTAAATCCGGAATCGAAATGATCCAATAAAAAGAAGAAGAAGAAAAGATTTCAGAAAGAAAGCCGACTTTGATTTCTTTATATATATATATATACTCCTCCGGCCGGTATTAACTATCATTCCCAAAGACGGCTGATATATAGCAACGGCGACGACATGGCGGCGGCGCCTCATTCCGATCCCAACTTCTCCTCCTCCTCCGCCGACGATGACTTCAACAACAATCGTCCCAGCAGCTACTCCGGCTTCGAGGCCACCCGCCTCAGCGGCGAGGGCTCCCCCATGATGATGTCGCCCTGGAACCAGAGCACCCCCTTCGAGAAGTCGCCGTGGGATGAAAACAGCGGCAACGCCAATGCCTCCCAGAAGCACCCGCTGAACGGCCTCATCGGATCTCTGGTCCGGGAGGAGGGCCACATTTATTCCCTCGCCGCCCGCGACGGGATCCTCTACACCGGCTCCGACTCCAAGAACATTCGGGTCTGGAAGGAGATGAAGGAATTCGGGGCTTTCAAATCCAACAGCGGTCTCGTCAAGGCAATCATAATCTCCGGTGACAAGATCTTCACCGGACACCAGGACGGCAAGGTTCGTGTCTGGAAGGTCAATCCCAAGAACCCCGCCGTCCACAAACGCGCCGGGACTTTCCCCACCTTCTTCGACATTTTCAAGGCGTCTATAAAACCCAGCAACTACGTGGAGGTGAAGCGCAACCGGACCGCCCTGTGGATCAAGCACTGCGACGCCATTTCTTGCCTGAGCATGGAGCCGGAAGCAGGGCTTTTGTACTCTGCTTCTTGGGACAGGACGTTTAAGGTGTGGAGGGCGGGGAATTCCAAGTGCCTCGAGTCCGTCAAGGCCCACGACGACGCCGTCAATTCCGTGGTGGCGAGCTCCGGCGGGATGGTGTACACCGGATCCGCCGACGGGAGCGTCAAGGTCTGGAAGAGGGAGGCCTCCGGGAAGGGGGTGAAGCACGTGTTCGTGCAGACGCTGCTGAGCCAGGAGTGCGCCGTGACGGCGCTGGCGGTGAACAAGACCGGGTCGGTCCTGTACTGCGGGTCCTCCGACGGGGTGGTGAACTTCTGGGAGCGGGAGAAGCAAATGTCGCACGGCGGCGTGCTGAAAGGGCACAAGCTGGCGGTGCTCTGCCTCGCGGCGGCGGGGAACTCGGTGTTCAGCGGGTCGGCCGATAAGACGATATGCGTGTGGAAGAGGGACGGGTCGGTGCACACGTGCCTGTCGATCTTGACGGGGCATAACGGGCCGGTGAAGTGCCTGGCGGTGACGGAGGACAAGGAATCCGCCGGGGGCGAAAACGACCAGAAGTGGATCGTGTACAGTGGGAGCCTGGACAAGTCGGTGAAGGTCTGGAGTGTGTCGGAAATGTCGCTTGATATGCCGCCGCCGCCGCCGCGCGCCGCCCAGGGAGAATCAGCTTGGGACTCCATTCCTTCCGCCAAATACTGATGATGATTGATGATGGTATTGAATGAATGTATGGTTTGGTAAATGTTTGTTCGGATGATAACATGAAATGTATACGGAGGAATTATGTACTGCTTGGGACTGTTTGTTGCCTTATTTTTAGATGAGGATGGCTGGTGCCTGGTGGACTGTGTTTTTACTCTTTAATGGAATTCATATTTATTTATACACATATGGTCAATTTTTGTAAACTCATGTTAGATTTGCCTAATATTTTTCCTTTGAGTTTAGTTCTTTCAAATTACTCCCTTCTCACAAAATATTACCTATTTTGATGTATTTTTGGTCAAACAGTTACACATTTTAACCATAAATTAAATATAATTTAAATAAAGAAATTTTATAAATATTTGATATATCAAAACTAGATACGTAGTAATAAGATAGATAGATCTAATTATGTTAAATTTATATTATAATTCAATCTGTTTTTCTCACAATTTGTATTCAATGCATGTAACTGTCTAACCAAATACTATTCAAAATGAGTAATGTTTTGTGTGCATATTACTTTTATTTTTATTATTACTGTTATTATTATTATTATTATCAACATTATACTCGACCACATGAATGATATGGTGTATATGTCATTTCACTAGGGACAAAGATAGTGGCATTGAGTTTTTTTTAATTTAAAATATTGATATCCCCAAATCTGTTTTTGGAACATATTTTAGTGTTATGTAAATTAAAAAAATAATTTTCCTGATAAAATTGTATTTAGTTTTATTTACACTAAAAATAGAAGGGAAAATAATAACGAGTGTAAATCACAAAAGTAGTGACATAAAATAAATAAATATTGAAATAATTTATAAACTACGTATGAATGTAATAATAATAATAACATTATTATTATTACATGAAAATTACATCATTTTCAAGGCCATGTTTTAGGGAGTAGAAAAAAGATTGAAGAAAATGATAATATTTGAAAAAAATCGTAGAAACTTAAAAAACTGAAAAACTGGAAGAAAGTAAAAGAATAGAATAAACTAGAAAAAAACGAACTGAACAAAAGTTGAAAGTTAAGAGAAAACTCTTATCAAGAAGCCTCTATATAATTACTTAGGATAAATTTCAAAATGAATTTTGATGGCCTTTTAATCGAGCGTGATAAAAACTGGAATATTTGTTGAGCACACAACAAGGCTCATGGACAACACTCTTAGATTTTTTAAAGACTAAAAAAGCAAAAAGTATATTACTCCGTATCTTTTAGTTAAAAGATTCAAATACTTTAAAATTTTACAATAAAATGATATTGTTATTAATCAATCTAAATACAAAATTTTCTTATTTTTAAATAACAATTTGGTTATCTAATAACAAATCTTTGAACATCTCAAACGTGTCAGCTAAAAACAAAAAATAACAAGGGCCGATTCCCATGATACTAGAGATCAATATCATGGGATGACTATGAGTGCTCCGATGTCCACTTCATAAAATTAACGATTCCTATTTCTAAATTCTAACCTCCCGAATATCCTCACCCCATCCTAACCCTTTCAATGACACCTCCAAATTAATTTTAACTTTAGAGGGGTTTACAAGGTTAGGGGTAGGAACCCGGGGAAATAACAAATATAGCAAGTGATCATTGTTTTTGACCTCCAACCCAATAGCTTAATTAAAGCCTACCCAAACATCAAACAATCTACAAATCCCCGTACTACCCTGCACGCCTTCGATCGCATCTCAGTCGCCTCTACTCTCTGCGCCTGTCTCCCGTCCTCATATCTCGTCAGTCGTTCGTCGTCACGCAGCGCAGCCATCCTGTGAAAGCCACCGGTAAAAGTAGCACACCAGCGGCTTCAGTACACGGCCGCGGCTGATTCTTCTCTGCCCAGCTTCTAATCTGCAATCCGATTGGTATATTTACGGGTTCAATTTTTTATTATTATGTATATTCTTCTTAGGAGATGTCATAGATTTTAAAAATTATATACCCCCATTGATAGTTAATTAATTCATTAAGTAGTTAAGTGCATCCAGTGAGGGCTTCTATTCTGCGAATGCTTTGAATATTTTCCCTGCTCATACTTGTTATTGATATATTACTGGTTCAATTTTTTAATTTGCCAGAATGGGTATTCAATGTGTGCAAATTGTTTGTTCTCCATATCTTTTTAATGTTCATTTGAGCTACTCCGTATTAAACTTGTAAGCATTTAACTAGTACTTTTAGATGCTATATGATGACACTGCTTTATTTATCTCATCTTATTTTTATTGGAACTTCTTTTTAATATTTATTTGAGTAATCTAATCTTTTTAAATCACCTTTTTTTAAATTCGCTTTTCATTCCCTATTTCTTTTACACTATGTTTGGTTCAAGGAATTCAGAAATAATAAAAAAAGAAAACAGTTCTCTCTCATTTTCTTACCCAAAATAGGAGGAATTTGGTTTTCCGTCTTCTTAATTCAGTTTGCCTTCTCATTTTCTTTTCCTTCCACTTTTCTTTTCTCATCCTCTCTAACCAAACAAAAAAAATGTGTTCCATCCCATTTTCTTTTCTTTTCCCTTTCAAATTCTCTGAACCAAACATAGTGTTAAAGTATTTTGTTTTCTCTAAAACTCTGTATATAATAATAGGAGTATAGTGTTTCATACACATCTTCCCAATTTTAGGGCTAAAAGAATATGAGTAATATAGTGTGACATAAGTTGGAATTTTGGCCATCCTTCCAATACTCTACTGATGATAAAACATCTAGTGTATTCAATCTAGATTTTAAAAGATTATGTAAGTTTTTTTAGAATCCATGGATTATGTAAAATTCATAGATTGTTGTAATTCTACGTGGACTTTGGTTGAGTTTAGTGCATTGTAATATTAGGATTTATTTGGATTCCAAAAGTTCATAGATTGATCAAATATCAATAATTGATTACAAATTGAAAGAAACCATGGTTTTTACATGATCTGTATAATCCATGGATTCTAAAAAATCTTACAAAATCTTTTAAAATCTGAATCGAATACACCCCCTAAGATGTTTTATCACGAGTAAAGTAATCGAAAGATGGTCAAAATTCGAAATTCGAAATCTCAAAACATCGTATTACTGATGTTCTATCAGCCCTAAAACTGGGAATGTGTGTATGAAGCAGAACTCTACAGTCGGAAGTGGGGAGCTTTGAAGATAATTGCGCTGTATCTTTGGTAGATAGTTTTTGCTAGTGTAGGGAAATATGGAAAATGCAGAGGATGGATGCACTGGCTCCGGTGGTCACCAGGAGAAACAAGAAGATGAGGTATATGGTCCAATGTCCTCCTGTTATTTTTTTGAGGATAATGCTACTTTAAATCAAGGATGAGTCCACACCTCAACAGAGACTCACTCATTACCCATTTATATTAATTGAATCAGGGGGGTTTACATCTGTCCATCACTTGCGTAGTTGGGCATATATAATGTGTGCAACTGACTTCTCCTAAGTATTTCTTTATGTTATACTCCCCCTGTCCCAAAAACAAGTTTACACCTTTTTTTTGGTTGTCCCAAAATCTCCTTTACATTTCCATTTATAGCGTGTAATTTACATCTACTTTACAACTTAGCCCTCAACTACCAGCTACATTTACCACCTTTTTAGAAGTAGGGCAATTGAGTAACTTTTTGTTCTTAAACTCTGTGCTATTCTCAAGTGACAATTTGATTATGGGACAGAGGGAGTATTTTACATGCATGCATTTATGATGATTCAGGAAACAGTTGCCCGCCTTGAGGAATTCAAAAGATCTATTGAGGCAAAAATGGCTCTACGACAAAGCAATTTTCATCCTGAAAAGCCAGGTACTTTAATGACTGCACCCCGTTTGCTATATTTTAAAAAAATGGAACATATTAATTGCAATTGAGCACTTACAATGAAACTTAACATATCCAATTATTGCTGGTTTGCACCCGCTGGTCCTTAATTGAATACTAATAAAGTCTACTTGTGCACACAACTTTATATTGTAAGATTGACACTATTGGGGCTGCCAAGAATTATTTCTTGTTTGCCTTTGAGGCCCTGATTTGCTTTTCTTCCTTAAATCGTGTAATGGAAGGACATGTGTCAAAACTAGCAGAGAATTTGTTGAGCTCCAGCATATCATCTTTGCTAACATCTTTTTTCAATGGATTCAGTTCTCTTAGGAGTTGGGTAAGAGAAAGACTTAAAGCAATTAGTCCAATACTCCCTCCGTTTCTCAACAATGATCAACGTTTGGTAAAGCACGAAGATTAAGAAATTTGAAAGTGGTGCAAAGGAGAGAAATAATATGAGCCACAAAAACCTTTTTGAAAATGGAAAGTGGGGCCTTTTTTTGCGATATACAAAAAAAGAAAATGTGGAACGTTTTTGTGGAAGAGAGAGAAAGTATTTGTAAATTGAGTGTTCTAAGGTAGTCAATTAGGAGTTAGAGAAGTGTTTGGTACATCACGAACTTTTGCTGCCAATAGGCGATCAGGTGGGGGGGGGGTTAGGAACCATCAATTTTACAAACGGAGCACCTTAGGTGCACCAATTGAATTATTGTAACATTTGTTGTAAAAAATTGTGTTGTAAGATTAAGGCTCGTGTGTGTGTGTGTGTGTGTGTATCCTTAGACATCCATTTTTATAATATCCATATCTTTCCTTTGTTGTAGTTTTATCTAAATTCCATCACAGTATTGAAAGTTACTAACTCATAACTCACATGTTATCTTCTAAGACTAAAAGAATCCAAGATTGAAATAAAACAACTCATATTTTAACATGTTTTAGGCTTATATGTTACATTAATTATTTTCCAGAAAATGAATTACGAAATATTGGACTCTTGTGAAATGTTAGAATAATGATCTATGGGTTAGAAACTTTCAATCATCGGTGGTTTCACATGAAAACAATCCAAATGAAAGATATAAGTGTTGCAAGAATTGATGTATAAAAAAGTTTTGTAGCTTTAACACACACACCCTCCACCCCAAAAAGAATTTCCCTATTCTTTTGCCATTTTCTTCGTCTAATTTCATTACTCGCTTGATAAAATAATATAGTCTTGTCACCTTTTTGTTTTGTTCAACATTTGATGTATAGTTTTAAATATATAAATTTTATTTTTAAATTTTTTTTATCAATTTTCCTGAAAATTGAGTTGAAAATAACTTGTGTCAACTGTCAAGGATCATTAGCCGCAATAGGAAAATCTTTATGGGACAAAGGGATTGTGTGTGTGTGTGTGTGTGCGCGCGCGCACGCATAGCTTTTTTTTTCCACCCACGAATTAGGAATCTCCATAGTCCTTATGTTGAGTCAGCCATTCCAAAATTAGGTAATGCGTGGGAACCCATTTCCTTATAGGGGGAAATGTATCTTGATAATTTAAAGAATGGGTGATTATTTTACTAGTGTAAATTTTTTCAACTTGTCTAATCTTTTCAGCTTGAGCAGGGGGTCTCTTGGAAATAGCCTCTCTACTTTCGAGTAGGGGCAAGGTCTGTGGACACACACCCTCCCCAGATCCTACTTGCATGGAATCCCACTGGGTTGTTACTGTTGCTGTGTTGTCTTCTTATCTTTTGATTTATCATTTCAGACCCTAGCTTTCTGAGGACACTGGATTCCAGCATTAAGCGTAATACTGCAGTAATTAAGAAACTCAAGCAAATTAATGAAGAGCAGCGAGAAGGTTTGATAGATGAACTGCAGAGTGTGAACTTAAGTAAATTTGTTAGTGAAGCAGTTTCTGCTATTTGTGATGCTAAGCTTCGGTCGGTAGACATTCAAGCTACTGTTCAGGTAGTTATTGGTTTGAGCTCTAATTGACTTGCCAAATTATCATAAATTGATATCTAGCTTATCGTTTTCATGTGACATTATTTGTGATCGCTTCGAATCTTTCCTTTGGAAGCTTTCTGCTAATATTTATATGTTTATTTAGTCATTTAGAACAGTCTTGGTCCATACATTGAAAACCTGTTCTATCCTTGGTTAATTGGATACCTTATGTGTATGAAGCATTTAACTCTCAAGATAATCTGTTTCTGTATTTTTCATTTCTGTTATTCATAAACACTATAAAACCCTGAGTATTGCTTAGCTTGGCCTATTTTAAAGAAATTATATTTCTTAATAGACTTCACAAGTCAAAACCTTGATGGCTGCCCAAAGCAAAGGCAACAACAACAAACCTAGTACAATCTCAACTCCGTGGGTGTGGCGGTCAAGATGTACACTGCTTTTACCCCTTTAAAAACGGAGAGGAGAGGATGTTTCCCTTAGACCCTTGATGCAATAATGCATTATTACTCAAAACTTTATAGAAATTAAGAAGGGAAGTTTGATGTATCATTTTGATATAGTTCATTATTTACTCGAAGCAAAAACATTGTCAAAATGACTCTTTAACCTTTATTGGTAATGAGCGGATGATATATTTTGCATGTGTTTTTTTGGCTGTTATTCAAGCAGCCTTTTGAAAAATTGATATACATTGAGAACACATCTGTTCAGTTCTTGATTGGGAGATGCTCATGAAATGTTTCCATTATAAATGTGAAATATAATGTGCTTGTTTACCTTTCTGCAATGATTTTCAATATTTATCTATTCATTTGAGTTGTTTTTATTTTGTCCTTTTAGGTCTGCTCTTTGCTTCATCAACGGTACCCAGATTTTTCACCATGCCTAGTTCAAGGCCTCATGAAAGTGTTCTTTCCTGGGAAATCTGCTGATGACTTAGAATCAGACAGGAATTCTAGGGCCATGAAGAAGCGTAGCACATTGAAACTTCTTTTGGAACTATACTTTGTTGGAGTTATCAATGATTGTAGCATCTTTGTGAACATTATTAAGGATCTAACTAGCGTCGAACACTTGAAGGACCGTGACACAACCCATACAAATTTGTCTCTTCTTGCGAGTTTTGCTCGGCAAGGGAGATATTTGCTTGGTCTTCAACTCACCGACCAAGATATTTTTGAAGAGGTAAAACAGTTCAAATGAACTTAGTGGTAGAAATGTGTTTAAGCTTGTTTTTATTGGAAAGCATCATTTTATATCATCATTATTGCAATTTGAACCTTTCACTTGGAGTTCTTTAATATGACTGTGCTACTAGAAATTTTGATTGTCGTATGCAACAACTTGATGTGCAATGTTTATGATGGGAAAGAAATCTTGTTTCATAGGGAG